GTTGAACAAACACAAATTAATACAAATTCTTTGCATATCTCCTTTGAATATTTTGGGTGGTGGGTAGTATATGTTGAAATACTTTTTAAGAGACAAAATCCTACATCATCCACTGAACAGTTGAAATCACCCAGGTTAGGAAACACTGATATAAATCCAAAAAGACAAAAGCAAAACTTTTCTTTACCACTGTGTTTTGCTCCTTGAGGAACTTTATCAGGGTAAATCATTTACTTTGATAAAGTTCCTCAAGTGAAGAAATGCACTGGCAAAGTTTTCCTTTTGTCACACACACACATATATATATATATATATATATATATGGGCACATGGCCAAGTGGTTAGAATGTTCACTTTCTGACCACCATGAAACCTGGGTTTGAATCTCACCATGGTTGATTTGTCGGGAAGGTGATTGGTCTGGAGGAAGTGATCCCAGCATGCAGCACTTTTGGAAAGTTCTTGAAAATTATACCACAGGTTGACCCAAGCCTTGTGAGTGAAATTGAGTAAATAGAGCCCTTGGAGATCATTGATGACTGTACGAGCACAAAGTCAGAAGTCATCATGACAGAGGCTTTGAGCGTGCTGGCCTTGTTCAGATTGCTTATCACATTAGATAACATGCTTCTCTCCCAGAAACTTTGACTAAGGTCTGCTCAGCATAGTTGCAGTATAAACCACAGGTGGGCTCTGTAGGTGTTGAACAAACACAAAATACACCTGAGCAAGAATCTGGGATTAGCTAGCCACCCTAGTTGACGGGTATCCCTGAATATGAGTGGTCAGCCATTAACATTTATATATATATAAATATATATATATATATATTCTTGTCATCCACAGACAGACTGTTTCACTGTATTGCAGCTCATCAGTGTGGCTAGACATCCAGCTGTCTCTAGCTAGGATTGAAACCTGACTAAATTGGTGTCAGTCAGGGATCCTACCACTAAGCTGTTGGCACACAGCAGGGATGAAGGTGAATTTAAGCATATTTGTTTTTAGATAAACACACAGTGACTGAGAGAACTCAATTCGATTTACCAAAGAGTCTTGCATTATTAGCCGTAATAGTCACTGTTTACAAACCCACACTTCCTCCCCAGAAAGCTCAACTAAAATAAATTTTTCAGGAGCATATATTGTCATTATTATATTATTATCATTATTATATATATATATATATATATATATATATATATATATATGTGAGAATAGGAAAACTGTTTCTTTTTATGGATATAACATGAAAGGTCTATGATTATTTTATAACAGTTCATATTATACAAATAATTAGTTATACATTTCACGAGCAAACCTTCTCTAATACATGTTTCATTAAAAATAACTGACAAGGTACTTCTGTTAAGTTTTCATTTAAGTTTTTTTTGTATGTGAACAAGAGATTTACAACAGCACAACCAAAATTCTCGAAAATGGTAAATAGATTATCCAAAAGCACCCACAACCAACAATCGTTTGAACAATTTCTACACGAAGCCGAAAAAAGAAATCTCTTGTTCCCATATAAGAAAAACAATATCCAAAAAAAATCTCTAGAGAAGCAACTTGTCATTTTAATACAACATACACATGCACACATACTGAAAACAACCCAGTCAAGATTTTAGAGGATTACTACATCCTTGAGGCCACCAAAGGAGACATCACCATCATTGATGTTGTAACCTAGGGAAGGTTACTGAATAGAATAATCAAACAAAAGTTGGTAATGAACAATAATACTTAGGACAAGAACAACACATATAAGATTCACCAGCGGCACGTAGAAGTTGTCAACTGCTAGAAGTGAGTCAAGTGAATTCCACAATGAATCTCCAACTGCAGGCCAACATACAGTATTTACTACTGTATTTATGTGAATGGGAACATACTCATTATCGTCCATAGGTATGCTATAACAATTGACAAAAAAAAAAAAAATATGCCTCCTCCCCAACATGGCATTTCTGGTGATCATAATATCAAAGTCAAAGAAACTGATAAGCCACCTCCAGTTTGTAGTTGCCAGGATATGAGATGTTCAAGTTAGTAACACCCCAGTTATCATTTGTGACACTGAAGTCTATACTACCAAACAGTCCCATATTAAGAGAATCAGAATAAAGCCTAATATCCCAATGCTTCAGAAGTCTGCATTGCCTGGCACCGCAAATATTCTGTGAAAGGTACTCTCTGAGGTTGTACAACTTGGAGAACATCCATAATTCATGATCTCTGGTTAAAAATGAAAAACTGTGAGGACAACTGATTGATTGATTTATTTTCTATGGCTTATCGAACTTTTGCAGAATATTTCAAGCCAGCAAATATCTTTTTCCTTTAAATTGTAAGAATTTTGGGAAGATAATAATTATTTACTGATACAAGTCCTACTAATTAACCCATAGCTGGAGGAGGAAGAGGTGGATTCATAACTTTCCCAAGGGTATTTGCCCATTACTGAATATAACAAACCTGTGTAGAATTGGAACTCAGCTCTCCAATTTTCTAATTCCCAGCCATTATCAATTACACCAATCGTACATCTAAACTTACACCTGGTATTCCCAAGTGGTCACCCATGTAGGTACTGACTAGACTCAAATTTGCTTAACTTCAGTGAATTTACAGAAACGAGTATTTCAACATGATTTGAGCATAAGCCCCATGTGAAGAAATAATAGTAATAGTTCATCAATTCTTCCTTCAAAACTATCACATTGTTATTAAAAACACTTTTATGATACAAATCTTTAAAAACATGGTTATTTAAAACAAATGAATTTTAATGTTAACTGAAAGAAAGCATGAATATATTTTTTGCTTTTAATTTTAAGCAAACTATAAATGAAAAAGTTTGCAAAATCAGAATAAAATGAAAAAAACATTTTTTCTTCAAACCTGATTCTCTAGACTGAGAAATCAGTAAATATGGAAAGCAATTTGGAAAAGTGTTATTTTGATGTTTTAGCCATCAAATGACATCATCAGAAAAAGAATTTTATTTCAACAAAATCTATTTCAGCAAGTCAAAACGTGATTGACATTAATCATATGGATGCTTGATCTTTTATAATAACTTTATGAGTTTGTTGTAAATTAGATTTTACTCATTTTAGTTTTATTATTTATTTATATATTCATCCGTTTTAAATTTTTCAGTTTTCCTTTGCTATTTCAGTTTATAACTTTTGCTTACTAAACTGGTGCTGAAAACAGCATCGAATACAGTTGATTGATTTACTCATTTTTTTTACAACATGTAGACTCCTCATGTGTTATTTAACCTTTAGCGATCTACATTATTAATATCTCTTCCCTTTCCACTGCATTCTTTTTCAAGGACTCTCAATTACAGTATCCTTATTATTAATTTCACTCAAAGTTGTTTTCTGTTGCCATAGAAGGATATGACAACACAACTATAAAATTCAAACACACTATTGTTCTGGGATCAGAGTCACCTTCAGTGGCAGGATAAACACAATCACATACAGAGTGATAATGGTTAAAGCCAAAATATTTTGTGGGGGATTGTAAGAATAATTCTTTTTTTGGTGAGTGAATTTGTATTAATGATTTTTTTTTTTAGATAAAAGTCCTAGTATTTAATCCAGGGATCAGCAATCTCTGATCCCTGGGCTACATCTGAGCTATGAAAGATTTTTGTCCAGTCCACTAACACCTGGACACTAATTAACTAATTAGTATGGAGTACAGATACAGTTGTTCACTTTAACATTTCGATCCTTGGAAAAGTATGTGTGTATCCTCCTCACAGTTTTTCATTTGTGTTTGTTGTCTGGCGGTAAAACAACTGTAGGTATCTGAATTCGATAATAAATAATGCTTATTTAATTTTTTATGAAAAATAGCATTAAGTATTATTACAATTAGGACAAACATGGCTTTAAAAAATAAATGTCAACCATGATCTAATGACATCATTAGATATTTCGGTTTTATCACAGTTTATTCACAATTATCACATTATTTTATCATATTACTGTATATGAATTGAAATGGTGCAATGGATGAATTGTCATCTAAATTAGGCAAAAATGTAAATAACACTGACATCTTATTTTAACAGATATATTTACCAAAATTACATAAAATATCTTGAAATACTAAAGAGTAAGTTTATTCAATAAATTCACCATTAGTTTCTACCACAGCCTCCAGATGACTTCAGAATCTCCAGCAATTCTTCTGAATGGTCTCTTTGTTTAAGTTGGTGAATGCTGCCATAATCCTTATCTTCAGTTCATCTTTGGTATTACAAAGAGTTTTGCTGGTCTCTTGCTAAACTGCGCACCCCCACCACACCAAGAATTTTGCTCACAGATGGTGCCCAACTGACCCTACTATACTGTGTAGCTGACAAAATCAAAAACAAACAACACACATATGCGAAATTAAAAATATAAAATGGAAACAATTTTCCCATTGCACCCTGTACATCTGTTTCTCCATTTTGGGTGCCATATTCTTTTTCTTTTCTTTCCAAATGTCTTTTTTATCTGAACAGAAACAAACCCATGGAAACTTCAGTAATAATTAGCAGTTTATAGGAATAATCCAATAATAATTAGAAGTTTATAGCAAAAATCCAGGAATAATTAGAATTTTATAGAAAACAATCCTGTGATAATTAAAGGTTTATAGAAAACAATCTGGTAATAATTAGAGGTTTATAGAAAACAACCCTGTGATAATTAGAGGTTTATAGAAAACAACCCTGTGATAATTAGAGGTTTATAGAAAACAACCCTGTGATAATTAGAGGCTTATAGAAAACAACCCAGTGATAATTAGAGGTTTATAGAAAACAACCCTGTGATAATTAGAGGTTTATAGAAAACAATCTTGTAAGAGGTTTATACCTATAACTCATTAATAGACATAATCCCAACAAAGAACAATATTGGGTTGAATGGAACAGAAAACCAAAATCAAAACCCAACTGAGCACAAGAGAATTATTTGACTTACCAGTGACATCTTGTCTTTGGGCTGCGTTGTCTTCGAAAGGTATTAGAGGGGAACGATCCCCTGTACCCACGTTGATGCTGTTGAAGTTCAACAAGTCATCAGTGTTGTTGCGAAGATTGTCCTGTAATTGTTGGCTCTTTAAGTCAATGTTCTTGTTTGCTACTGACAGGTCAATGAGAGGATCGATCTCGTCTTGGGAACACTTGGCAGAGGAGGCCAATGTAGTTGTATCACAAACACCAGCAATTGTGGTTGTAGCCCCACCACTAGTCTGGTGTGTTAGGGCAGAAGTAGAAACTGGAGCTATGGTTTTCCCAGGTGTGGCCCTGAAAAAAAAGAAAAAGAAAAATTGTAGTTGAAAAGAAAGAAAAAAAAAGGAGAAAGAAAAGATGTTCATAAATGGGAAAAGAAAGAAAATTTGAAAAGTAGATGAAAAAAGAAAAATTCTCAAAATAGAATCAAAGCATGAATGAAAATTCAGGGAAGAGAAAGAAAAAAAAAATTCAAGAAGAAAATTCAGGAAATAGATAAAGAAAAAGACAGGAAGAAAATTCTTTAAAAAAATATGAATCAAAATATTTTATTTAAAAAAAAAATGGTCTCAATTTCTGTTCAGAGTAGGGGTACAAATGTTTCATTAGTCATTTTTCCAATTGAGACAACAAACAGTATCAACAACCTTTGTATGCATTTTTTCAAACTTGATGCTAAAAACGCCTAGGCTAAAATTACATAAAGGTCCCTGATTAATATTAATGCAAACTTAATACCAGCAACCTTCTTTCAAAAGGTTTCCCTACAATCCTCCATTACAATCCAGTTTAATTATATATATATATATATATATATATATATATGTGCACACAGACAGAATGTTGAAATACCGGTTCTCATTGTATCGATCGATTGTCCTTTTGATAAACATTATATTGATTCCATATTGTTTTTCATCTTTAAAAATCTCAGATGGAGTCAGTTTGTTTTCAGGTTGCTCAATTATAGACTTTCTTTTATTTTCTATAGACAGTGTTTCAAGTAAATACTAAAACCCTTTGAAAAAACAAATAGTATACATTGTTGGGTGACTAACAGACCATGAACAAGGTCATGTCCCAAAATTTACAAGTAGAATTCATTTGAAATTTTGTAACACCATTTATTCCACACCCTGTCTATAGCTTCTATTACCCTAAACATTATTTTCTGAATAACTCTGGGTAATAATAGTTATCAGTCTTTAACTTTGTGTCATATCTTATCAGAATATGTGCAATCATGGCTCTCCACATCTTCCTGTCATTTGTTTTCAAAGTAACTATTATTCCATAACAGGAAATAATATATAGTAATCCATTATAATGATTAAATAAATGACAAGATAAAATACAGTATTGTGATATCTCATTCTGAACAAAATGTCACAATACAGTTTTCTGTCATCATTTATTCACACACACACAGTGCATAGTGTATATAGCACTTTTCAAAGTGTGCACAGATATTACATTGATCCTAAGCAAGGAGTGACTGGGTAACATTCTACTGACCTGAAGAAGAAAAACTGATCAATACATAATCCCATCATTTTTAAGATGTCCTATGCTAATTGGTCAGTAAAATCCTAATGTTGTTGTACATATATATACATTTAGTTTTTTTCCTCAAAACTTTTTTTGAACATGTTAAATATTGTTCCAAGTCAATCAAAACATGTGTTTAAGATAAACTATTTTTTAAACATGTTAAACATTGTAAAAAGTCAATCAAAATATGTGTATGGCATATTTCTTGATATTCACTGAGGACTAATGTTTTCCAATGACATGAACTGGAAAGATTATATTGAATCAATTGCAAAATCTGTTGCTAGAAAAGTTGGTTCACTGTGTCACACTGTGTTCAGTTAAAGAATTCACAGAAAGTTCTGGTCATTCATTTCCTTTGTCACTATCAGATTTTTTCTAACATATGAAAATAAGAATCATAAATGGTAAATAATAAAGAATTCCTTTGAGTTGGTTCACATATTTTAATAATTTAGTAAATTTTTATAAATTTATGAATAAAAATTATTTTCATATTTATTTCTTTATAAAATTGGTAAATGATAAATATTGCATTTCATTAGTTTTAATTGTATTCGTTTTTAGAATGTTGTAAATAAACAATCTAATAAAAAATGTTTAATATTTAATATTTTTGTTGTAAATTCTCAAGTACAAAAAATATATGTATATAAATTTACTTTCATCCTATGTTTAGGTTTTATTACAATTCTAATCATCACTTTTTAAAACAAACATTGATGAAGAGTTATGGTAGTTGAAATAATAGCGATAAACGAGGGAAAATCTTTATTTACATTATTCGGACTATTGACCTCTCTTTGTCACCATATTTATGATAAATATGGCAGCAAAGATGAGGACAATAGTCCAAATAATGTAAATAATGTACATAATACCTCATCTCAGAAATATAGACAGACTCTGAAAATCGTTCTTTTTGAAACTTCATTTTTTTTGTCATTATTATTCTTTTCTGAGCAAGGAGGTCCAAGATTGCTGAATATTGAATTGTTTTTTTTAATTTATTAAATTGTTTATTTGAATGGTTGGCAAAACATCAGCTCATTGTCAATTGATTCAAATTTTATAAAATGGTAAATAATAAGGATTTCCTTATAGTTGGTTTGCATATTTTAATAATTTAGTAAATGTTTATAAATTTGTGAAGAAAAAATTGTTTTCACATTTACTTCTTTATAAGATGTTAAATGGTAAATATTCCATTGCATTATTTTTAATTGTTTTAGTTTTTAGAATGTTGTAAATAGAAAATGATTCTTGTAAATAAACAATATAATCAATTGTGTTTAATATTTTCATTGTAAATTATCAAGAACAAAAATAAAAAAAATGTATAAATTCACTTTCATCATATGTTTAGGTTTTACTATAATTCTAATCATCACTTTAAAACAATATAACCTTGCCAAGGAGCAGTTAAAATAATTGCAGTGTCAATGGAAAAAGCCTGCTTTTGATACTCGATTTTTTTGCAGGCACAAAAGGTCCAAATTTGTCAAATTAAGTTAAAAGGTAAGTAAATAAAAAAATGTGTTATGCATTGATCAGTGCAAATTATGTTTGCTTTGAAACTGGAAATCCATTTTGCCAATTGTGAAAGAGCTCATTGTTGAAAATATGGCGTATTTCTTGATATTTATTGAGGACTAACATTTTCCAATGGCATGAAATGGAAAGATTATATTGAATCAGTTGCAAGGTCAGCTGCTAGGAAAGTTGGTTCACTGTGTCATGATAGACAATTTTTCATCGCCAGAATCTATCTTATATATTTATTAGTCTACCATTCACCCATGCTTTGAATAATACAGCCATATCTGGTTTGGCACTCCTGTTATATATTTTGAGATTCTTGATAAAATTCATAGAAGAATTTGCAAATGTTATTAGTCCTGATCAGTTCCCTAATCTCCAATTTTTGTTGTTATATATTACACCACCTGCAAATCCAAGCTTACAGTACCTAGTGTTCCCAAGTGGTCACCCATCTAAATACTGACCAGATTAAATGTTGGTTCACTCCAGTGATCATACAAGAACTGGTGTTTCAACATGATATGGCTGTAAGCCCTTTAGAAAAGAGCACCTCATAGCAGCCACTGTCCAAAGGGAAGTAGAGTAAATAAAAACTTTCAGGATCAAGTGCTACTTCTCAGGAAGTTAGATTTTCCTTTTGTTTTGAGAATGCTAGTACAGAATGAAACATTGACATCAAAATAAAAAATTGAAACATCCAACAGGTTTTCACAAATTCCCTCTTTGTACTTTGTTTCCGATATTTCATATCAGTCATTTTATTATTATATGTAAGTACCGTATATTGCGGCTTGGAAGATGCACCCTAATATGGGAAAGAAATTTCTAAAGAAAAAAGTCATTCTCATACAGCTCCTTCACCATGCATCCCTCACATACTGGCACCACAAATTGTTTCCATTAATCACTCATCTGATTTTGTATGTATAACAATGACATACTAGTCAAGAGCAGAAGGGCTCCTGCTGCTGCTAGTAGACAGAGTTTGTGGCTTGGCTCCAGGAAGGTTCATAGTTTTGGAAATATTTGTAACAGCTAAGTAGTGAGGTTACATCAGATAGATAGATAATATTATAGTGTAATGACTCAACATACAAATCCATGCCCCTATTAGTCAAGCCAATCAGCTGACCATTTGAGCTTACTTGAGCCTGGGCATTGCCCTACATTTGTCTTGGAAGACACACACATATTTTTCAGGGTATTTTTAGGAAACAAAGTGCGTCTTGTAAACCAGAAAATACAGTAATTTTAAAGCAGCTAATGAACTTTTTACTCTAACATAAATGGCCGTTCAATTTCAGCAGAGCATGTTCAGTAAATACTGTTAATATTTTATTTTCATGTATAATGTTTACCCTCAATTTTTATATATAAATACCAGGAAGTGTATCATGTGACTCTTATTTTTGAAAGTAAATATTGTGTTACAGTAGAATCCCTCATATCTGGAATCCCTCATATCCGAAGTGCCTCATATTTGGAATCCCGAATGTCCAGACATGATTTTGATGTGTATATTTGAACTATTTCAATGATATGTAACTGATTTGAAATTCCTGTTTTTCAGGAAATATACTTTGGTTAATTGCTTATTTCACCCTAATGGCTTGTATTGGTGCAAAAGATGATGGGAATAAGAGGAAAAGAACAACTTTGGAGTTATCACAAAAAGTGAAAATTTTAAACAGACTAGATGCTGGTGAAAGTTCATTATAACTAATGGCTGTGTTCAACAGGAATATCAACATTGTATGATATAAAATCTTCAAAGAAACTATTCTCCAGTGTTCACACTGTCACAATCAACAAGGAAATAAAAAACATGATTGTGATGAAACCTGGACTGAAACTGAAAAAGCTATTTAAAAGGTTGTCAGTTTTATGGAAAGAAAGTCAGCCTTCAACTATGACAATTGCAATAACACACACAAAATTAAAAAGTTTCTTTTGTTTAAAAAAAATCAAGAACAAAAGCAAAACAAAATGTGGAAAAAGTTGGGAATGACATTAGAAGAGAAAGAATCATCATATAACAGCAATTAAAAAAAATCCTTGTTACATTATTTGTTTCGCATGCATGGCATGCTTAATGAATTATTAACATTACATATTTCTTTTTCCTCAAAATCAATTCTGTTATATTTCACTCACTATTAGCTTATTTTGTTTACTATAAAACATTGAAAATAAGTGTTAAACCTGATTTCAGTTCACTTATTTTAATCTAAATATGACCCCTCATATCCGGACTTTGTAACCAATTCCTCATATCCAAAAGGCCTTTTTTGTCCAGTTGTCAGGGATTCTACTGCATTTTATTTTCATGTATAATGTGAACATTATTTGACTGTGTGAAATGATCAGATAATTATTAGAAGCCTATGTAAATCTGGGAGGTACCTTTAAGGAGCAACAGATGATAGCATTTCACCATGAAAAAATATTCAGTGAAGTCCCCCCCCTCCACCGACCCTACAAGTAATTCTAGGCTATTCAACAGAGACTGGCCATTTATGAAAAAATAAAATAAAGAAAAAACAATTTTACAGCAGAACAAATTTAT